GCAAACTCCAGTCAACATGGAGGTTAAAATCACCAAGAAGAATAGTATTGATGCGGACAGAAAGAAGATGTCTCAAAGCATCGATAAGAGTTTCATCATCAGCACTACTGGAATCGGGTGGGCGGTAAACCGTTATAACGCGAGTATAGGACGATTTGACCGGACAGAATAGGTCTAAACAGATGCCCTCAGCTTTGCCATGGCTGATATTACAAACAAAGTCAACTTGAAGATTTCCTTTTACCAGACAACAGACACCCCCGCCTTTACCCCTTGTCCGATCCATGCGATAGAGAAAATAGGGAAGGTTCATTGTTATTTTAGAGTTTAAAACTTTACTTTTTAACCAGGTTTATGTGATAAACAGAATATCAGGTTTAACGTGAGAAATGAAAGAATGAAGATGACAGATCTTGTTTACTAGACTACGAGCATTTATTAAGCAGCATTTCAATGTGAGAGAACCCTGCCAGCAGCAAGGTTTCCCGAGCTGTTTCTAGGAAGGCTTTTTATATGCACGAGCTGATCCTTGTATACGACCCATTCCTTGCTGGACAGTCCTTTGTTGCGATCCCGGGCAAGTTGCCTCAGCATAAAATCCCTCTGCCTTTCCTCCAGTGTCATACTTTTACGTATAAATACGGAAGGAAATCCAGCATTACGGAGCAGGTGAGCATTGGCAAGGGCGGTTCTCCAATGTGAAGAAGCTGGGAGGACAACCTTAACAAGACGGGGGCGTTTCGGATCAGGTTTACCCATGCGATATACCTCGCATGGGCGGCATTCGACCTTCAACGCATCGAGAACCTTAGTAACCTTCTCCTCCAGGTCTTTTTGACGTTCAGACGGCCTGAGCTCAGTCCTTGCCTCCTCAAGACCATAGACAACAATGCTCCTAGCCTTTTTTTCACTATTGATCGACTCCGTGAATTCTCTCGGGATTTTATCCGACAGAGCAATAAGGAGAGGTTCAAGAAGAGGGTCCTTATTACGCTCAATGATAGTTCTGAGAAGATCTGCCGCGGATATTTTATCCAACTCGAGCTGATGCTCCTGACCACGAGGCAGCTCTGCAGAAATCACATCAGCTGGAGCATCGAGGCATGAATCTTTAGAAGAAACTTTCTTCTGATTCCTACGCTGATTTTTGACCATTATAGTACGCAGCTGATGAAAGGTGACCAGAAAAAGTTCACGAAGGAAAGATCAATGACTTCACGGTAAAAAAATTGCTACGGAAGTCGTAAAAAGAACAAACGGAAAGAGAGCCAGCAGTTGAACCGACCGCCTCGCAGATGAGAACGAATGAAAGAGTTATGCATCAACCTAATATACAGCAGTGCTCGAAAACCACCAAGAGAACGACAAGGCAAAAGTACAGTGAAAGAATATTCAAGGAAATGCTACCAAAAAATGAGAGAGCAAAATATGAATCAACAGGGCCTATGAAAGATCGTAAGGGAGAAAATGGTAAATAAGTCAGTGTGTGCTAGAAATCTTCAGCGTAGAGCTCATAGTAGGATGATATCAAAAAGGCGAAGGATTGGGAATTGTTATGGGCGGAGCTCAAAACGTAGTTGAGAAATGGATGACTAAAAATAGATTAGACTGCTGCTAAGTTGATGGGAAACGGAGATGCAAGGTATTTATGATGAGGAGCGGGCATCATAAAACTATCAAATATTCTAGTGTAATTTTGGGAAAAGTATGCGACAATGGTAAGGTTTTGAATGCACATTTTGCGATAATTCTGTGGATTCTATCAGACGATAATGGAAAGGTAATCATTAGCGCTTTAAAAGTGAAGAAAAATCCTGGAAATTGAAAAAAATGAGAATGTGGTAAAAAAGCGCGTCTGGTGTAATATGAGGCTTCAAGAAAGTCGTAAAGTTAGTGATTGGACAGAAATGTGACGATAAGAATTGCATGGGAAGAGTCTTTGGGCGCGCTGTCTAAATGGATGGACCATTACGTTCAACGGGCTACAGTAAGCAGCGGCCTGCGAGCAACGTGTGCGTGCCGGCACAACCTTTACAGCCTTTGATACGCTGTGAGAACTCTTACCGCTTTGGGCGTGTACGTCAACTGAGCCCGTTTTGGGGCCTTTATTACGCCCTATCTAGACCGCATTTCGGTCCATGTTTCTTGTGCTATCCTTGGGGTCGTTCATCCCAGAAAATAATCTCTGAAACCATCTTTATCATAAGCTGCGCCTCTAACTACGAGCATATCTTAATCAAGTACTGTTCTATCTTGGCTTTATTACTGGACCGTAGGTTTTTTTATTGTAGCTTATTTGGTGTGTTTTTGTTCTCGTTGGCATTGCAAGGAAGGTCAGTGTTTGCATGCTCTTGTGTATGATATGCAATGTAAGCCTTTTCTCACAAAATGGGTCATCTCAAATGATCAATTATCCTTACCTTTTTTAAGGCCTTCCTTGTATGTTTCGCGGTCGTAGATGCTGCACAGTGGAGAGGTGCCCAAACAAGTAAGTACCTATTGCACATTCATCGGATAATCAGTTCGGTCAGCCGGATAACACCTCTTAAGAAAAGGGTACAGCTGCAAAAGTTTATTCTCAAGATAACAGTAGCGTAAAGCGACCAGCAATGTTCTCATTCGACTTATATACGACTTAAGACCTTCGTCTGCAACGTTTCATCATGAACTACGGTAAACGGAGATGCAACGAATCCAATGAATCCAAAACATTCATCTTCAGCATCAGCATCCATTGTTGATCGACATTGTTTACCAGAAAGGTTGTGAAAGCTCACGACATGTAGGTCGTGAATTTCCACAACAATCGTTCCTCGTTCCTACTCTAAAAGCCAGTTCTGAACCATCTGAATCTCATATGTGAATTTCAAATTCAGCGTCAACAAAACGCCGTTGACCTTTCTTCACTACTCCCTCGAGAATAACATTCCCGATATTCCGGTCCAAAAAATCCAAAAAATGATATATCCTCTCATGCTACCTTCTCTCTCCGTCTAAGAATGTGGCTGCAGACAGATGCGAAACGAACGATTTCTTCGAAAGAAATCATTAAAATTTTTTAGAGAAGGAGCAAGTAATTCTTTGAAATTTCGACACACTTAAAAATTGATGAGTTTAGTAACAACTTGCTCATGCGGCTTTGACAAACTCTGCACTTTCTGAGTAGACCAGACCTGGAAAAGATTGTTGCAGCTGTGAAAAAACTTGAAGGTTCGCACTCGCCTCTACCACAGCAACAGCTACTTGTCTTATATCTTCTACTAATAGGGTGGGGGGATATTACACTGTGGCTAGTGTGTTCACCAGGACCATTTGCTACAAGTGTGAAGATGAGTATGAGACAGCTAGACAATATGATGTACTGACTAAAGAATTTAGGAAAAAAATTTAGTAATCATTGGTCAAAAAAAAGGCTACGTTGCACCAGTCAACTGCCTGAAGCTGCCGCAGGGTACAATACCACATATGGATGGTACAATACCTGCTAATCTATAGGCCCTATCTTTTTTCGTTGCCTGTCATCTCAAATACTCATGATACTTGATTGATTCCCTTCAATCATTTCCCCTTTTCACGATTGAACAGCATCCACTGAAACAACCATTTCAGTTACGCACTGGAACCGTTTCGTTATTCCATCTATAATAGGTGAGAACGTTTTGCGGAAGTTTGATTCCAGTCCACTAATCGGGGTTTTCTTTTTTTGGAAGGTTAACTTTTCATTAACATTTTGTTTTTTCCAGTGGAATGCTTTCTCTGCATTCTTGCCGATAATCTTCGAATAGCCTACAGCTACATTGATAAATAAATCTCTCCAACGTGTTTTCAATAAAGACTTGATGTTTACTGTTGTAATAAACACGAATGAGCTTTTCCTCGGGGGAGTGATGTAGTGCAACATGTTGCACTACCACAAATACATAGGGCGCCTGAGACCGAGTCCCTGATAGATAACCCTCAAACCAACAAAGTTGACCAATGCAAAAACTTATCCATGTTCCTTTATGGTCATTGAGTTCGTATTGTGCGAACCTCACAAACAAAGTGAACTATAATATTTTGAAAAATTTAATTAACTTGAAGCAAATGACTTCGTAAGACACATTTCTTTGAGAGCACAGTTTACGATAATTCTAGGGTACGTTTTTGAGTGTTAATGAGAAACGGTACATTGATGGCGAAGAAAGCGAGGAAATCGCTAAATACAAGGTTTTTGGAAGTAAGGGAAATAGAGGTTGTACGAGATCACCATGACGAGAATGGCATGTAAGGGTATACGGACGAGATTTCATTTGCTCCAACTGCGCAAAGAATTAACTACATCAAGCCGAAACTGTCCAAAGCTGCCTTTTACTGTCGCCATGGTTTATGACAAAGTGCTAAAACTTCCTACGTGGGAGTCTCTCGTGATAGTGCAGTCTCTACAATGCAGCTGAAACTCGTCTCTTATGGGTGTGGCAATCACACGATGCAATCTCTGGCCCCTTATTGTGCACTACACAAGACTTTTTCGACCTTATGATGGCAAGCACGGTATCAAGGAGGGCCTCGAACTCATACTACGGGGAATCTCAGAAAGCATCTTTATTGTGAACTGTGCATTTAATCTCAACGTTATCTGATGTACCTTCAAGGCACAGTCCCCCCTAAGAACGCTTTCTGAGGTGTCCTACTGAGGCGAATCACAAGTTTCCAAGGAGGCAACATGGGCGTTGTCGAACCATAAAAAGACTAAATTGTACGCAATTAGGGTTCAATGAATGGCTGCGTTGTATGGTACAACTAGAAGCGATCGTTTTTCAGTGGCGGAGTGCTGCATAATTCACAGTGTAGCACATATGATGAAATTCCAACGGCTGATCTCCAAGAGCCCTTACCTATGACGATGGTGGGAAGCAGTTTTCAGAAGCTGGAACGCTGTTGCCAATTCCAACGAAAATGCACTGCAAATGCATGCAAATGACTGGAATCTAGTCCAAACATCCCTTTTGTGGTCATAATGCCGTATAATCTCCCGATTTGACCAGTCCCAGAAAACCCTTTGTTTCATCTGGGCGAAGGTAATGTATTGGCAAGTGAGAGCACCATCACACACGCATTGTCCGTGGATGGGATCTCGGACCAGTACTAGCCCGGGCCTAAGAATTCTTCAATCCCTCCGCGGTTGCTTCATTGGGTGTGGTGCAGTAGGAACGAAGTTGTCGCGTCGCGGCGAGTGAGACGCCGCGCGCGAAGGAATGTGGCAGAATACAGCAGCAAGTAGGAACTACATACAGGAACAAAAGAACTAACTGTACAATAATGCCATAAGTAATATTAAGCAGTAGTAGAAGCATGCCATAAGTAATAATCGCATAGCGATTGAGCTCTATGAAGAACGCTAGAACTGCATCAACGAGGCGAACGCTCCGCGACAGCCGCGTGCGGCGGACCGATTACACAAAATCGTTCCTACTGCCA